CGGTTGAAAACTATGCGAAATGCCAAAGTTTACAATACAGAAATTGCTGTCATATGCTAGCGTAGGTGAGCGCCGAATGGAAAAAAAAATTTACTGGTAAGTTATATGGATTATACTCGCAAATTGGGATCTCGTTTGCATTCGTCCCTCCTGCCCTTCCCCTCCAAGGCGTACGTGAGTCGCTGCGTCATGCGGGAGAGCGCACCGCAGCTGCCTCCACGAGTGTGCATCCCACGCATGATGAAGAGAATGTCATGAGCGGAGTCGGACCTCCATCAGATCGAGACTCCTGGGGAGAGTCGATGCGTGCAGAGATGCAGAAGGCGCGCGGGGAGCGCAAAGAAAGGGGAAAGCGACGTTCGCTCTTGTGACTTGAAGACAACCCAGCTCGTCAACGTTCCCAAAGGAATTCAAATAGTCATGACATACGGCTGCGATAAGAGGCACTCGGTATTCGGAAGCCTGCGAGAGATGGAAGGATTTGGGAGCATGCAAGAGAGGGAAGTTTTCCCCTCGTGTCAAAAGACGGAGAAACCGGAAGAAAACTGTGTGGAGCATCAGATTGTGGTGATTCTTGTCGCAAGTTTCATCGAGATGACGATGGCGATATTCCATCCCAAAAGCGCGAGGATGAAACCCAATGGAGAGCGAAGGGAAGAGGCTGGACCTGGACGAGGAACTTTATTGAGACGGTGTCCTTGCGTACATTCGTCCGGAGAAATGGCTAATGGCCGGAGAAATGGCTAATACGACATCACTTTTTTTTTTTAACACGAACGTGTCAGAGGAAGTAAAAAAGGAGGTTGGGATTGGAAATGGGTCGGTTGGGTTTTTGTACAAGAGGGTGACGGGCTTCGGAGGGTCTAGATCCAGTTGCTTTGGGAGGAGGACTTTCTCGGTCGAGGCTTTCTCGGGGGTCCTGGGACCTGGAGGCTCTGGGTCGGCTTCGATTCGTCGTCGTCGGGGATGCTGATCACGGCGTCGCCGGGCGGTCGAGTTGCTTCCGGAGCGGGGGGTGGAGGCGCTTTGGGTTCTTTCGGACGGGTGGGGGCGGGGGGTGGAGTCGCTTTGGGTACTTTTTCTCGGGTGGGGGCGGTGGGTTTCGTTGCTCTTGGGGCTTCTGCCTTGGTGGGGGCGGTGTCCGCAGGTGGAGTCGCTTTGGGCTCTTCCGTCCGGATGGGAGCGACGGGCTCGGTTGCCTTTGGCTCTTCCGCCCGGAGGGGAGCGGTGTCCACCGGTTTCATCCCTCTGGGTTCCTCCTCTCGGATGGGAGATGTGGGTTTCGTCTCTTTCGGCCCTTCCGCGTTGGTGGCAGTGATCTCGGCCGGCTTCGTCTCTTTCGGCTCTTCCACCCTGGTGGCAGCGGCGCGAGACGCCTTCTCCCTCTCCTCTCCCGCCACCCTGCGTTCCTTATCGCTGCCGTCGCGAACGACCTGCGCCGTGATCACGAACTCCGTCTTCCTTCCTTCCGCCACGCCCTCCTCCTCGAACCCCTTGTTATCCCTCCCCTTCTCCTCCCCCTTCTCCACCCCCTTCTCCTCCCCCTTCTCCTCCCCCCCGCTCCCCCTCCTCCCCCTCGACATCCTCTCCGAGTCGTACCCCTTAAACGCCCCCCGATGCGCCAGCGTCGTGACCCTCCCCCACCCATACTCCCTCCTCCTGCTCGGCCGCCGCCGATGCAGATGGTCCTCCAGCACCAGGCTGTTGATCCGCCCGCCGCGGAACGCCCCCTGCGACTGCAGCAGCGCCACCGTCCGCCACCCCCGCGTCGTCGGCAGGACCTGGGGGCCCGAGCTCCTTCTCCGGCGGAGAAACAAAACGGTCGATGAGTTTTCCGAGCGAATTTTTCCCTTTCCGACGTTTTTGTTCGGCATTCTGAATTTAAACTCGTAAAATTGAGAATAAAATAAACTTTGCATTTGCGATCGAGAATTTTTTTTTTGAACCTCACCAGGAAAACCCAGCCTACAATTGGTGAAAGTCTTCAAACGTGACGTATTTCAGCGTAAATGCTCCTATTCATGCTGACCTCTAACTAGTAACGTTAACTAAGAGGCAAATAGTTAAATATGGCATTTCATTTTAAAAAAAATCTCAATTGAAAGGGAAAAAGTTACAGTTACATTTATCGAGTGTCAAATTGCAACAGAAATTCCATCTACGCGCACTTTTCTTCTTCTGAATCAAAAGTAAGACGTTCCATTGACTCGTCGAGACCTTGTAACGAATTTTAATAACGCATTTGTCACGGCGCCGATTGTGACGCGTTTTAACTCCGTGTGCGAAGTCCAACCACATAACGATGCAATTTCGCAGTCACTGGTGCTCGTGTTCTCATTTTAAAGTAATCCAATCTGAAACTTTTAATAATTAAAAAAATAATGAAGCTTAATAAAATACGGAATATTGATTAAGAAACATTATTTTAAAAAAATATTGAAGAAAATTTCAGGAAATGCATTTGATCGTCATATTGGAGATACCTGATGCCGGCTCGCCGGATCGTCCGCCGCCGCTGCAGCTCCCCGGCGTTCCCGATCTGGTCGATGCGGGGGGCGTTCGCGGCGACGATCTCGTTCCAGTCGCGCTGGGTGGAGCGGCGCGTGATCCGCATCACGAAGTTGGCGAGGGCGTAGGTACTCTTGCGGTCGGAGATCACTTCGTAGGCGATGCCTTCCACGAAGCCGATGTTGAAGTCCTTCAGGAGGCGGCGGGCCTTCGTTCGCTCCTTTCGGCCGCAGCCGGCTGTGGGAGGGAAAGAAGAAGGGGAGGGGAGGGGGGAAGGTGGAAGAGAGTGTGACTCGTTAACTGGGGGTTGTTCGCGGTTGCTCGAAGGAGCGATCTCCGGAGGAATGAGATTCTCCGATTTACCATCTTCAGGGGAGACCTCCTTGACCTTCATGCCGTTGTTCCGGAGGATGTCGAAGAGCTGGAACCGGAAGCTGGTGATCTCGTGCTTGAGCTCGTTCACGTCGTCTTCCGTCACGCCGCTCGCGTCCGTCTTCTGTTGCTTCGTCGTCACGTATCTCCGAACGAGCGATCGCATCACTCTGCAACGAATTCGCTCCCCCGATTCATCCCTTTGACCTTTGACCTTTGACCCTCATCCAAAGCCTAACTTAATAACAGCCCACCATGTGATTTCTCTCTCTGTCGACGACGAAGGACTTCTTGACAGAGTCTCGAGCCCATCCCTTCTTGGGGCAAAAGAGCCCACAGATCGTCTTGGGCGTCGGGATGAGATTGAACGGCGGCGGGACCGTCCCCCCCTCCTCGAAATAACTCATCCACAACTTGCTCCTCGCGAATTTCCACTCCGTGTCCGACCGAGCCTGCGAAAAAAAAGGCATTTTAACCCCAGGCCCTCGCAGGCCCTCGGAGGACCTCGTAGGCCCTCGCAGGCGCCTCACGAAAATGGTGGAGTACGAGTTGGACATCATGGCGATGAGGAGGTTGAGGAGCACGACGACGTTGATGACGGAATACCCGCCAAACATGAGCATGCTCCAGAAGCGGGTGTAGCCCTTGATCCCCGTCAGCTCGAAGTTGTAGAGGTCCACGAGGCCGAACGTGGCCCAGAAGAGGGACTGCGACGTCTCGAACAGGCTGGGAGGAGGCGAATCGCTTTTTGACGGGCTTGTTGCATATATACATAGGGGGACGAAAGACACGTTGGAAAGAAGTTTGGCACGAATTACTTATGCAACAGGTGGATGTGGCGCATGCGCCTCACCTGCCAGGTCCTCA